AAGGGGAGAACAACTTGCAACTGGCCACCTTAAATACCCTTTCTCATGATTGGCTTCGCCTGTGTATGTAGGTCAAGGGTCAATGAGCTTACCAAACAAATTTTGTGTTCCAATAATTAGTGCTAAAGGTATTCAAATCAATAAAACAACAAGGGTGCCTAAATTTATGCACCTGCCTACTTTTGTTTAAGTAATTATTGCACACTTTCTGTAACTCCTATAAACTTCATTTCACTTCTTAAATATCACTGTGTTTGTTTGCTATATGATATATTTAATTGAAATTGCTGTTTCGAGCAACCAATGATACATAAAGGAAAATCTTGAAAATGATCAGGGGTGCCCAAACTTTTTCATACCACGGCATGCAGTGTAACTGTACACGTAGATACCCTTAGATATAAAATAAATGTTTTACTTAGGTGTTATCAGAGCTGTGTGACCTGATGACGTTAGAAGTCCAACATTAAATACTAATACATTAAGATTAAAAATCATAGATGAATTTTAGTTTAGTATTTCTGTGATATTTACTTTTAACGTTCATACATTCTCACACCTAATTAAAATGATTATGATTCGGAGCGGAGGTAACGTGAACTTGTGATGTGAGGAGTTGAATTTACTGTGGTGGTTAAATGATGGATGCTAAGGTTAAAGTGAACAACTGTAACCAGAGATCTGCCCCAGGGCAGGAAGGGAATTCTGTCGACAAGCTTCTACACAGGAAGAGAAATTAGAAACTCACCTTCGTCACTGCATTCATCAACACAACATACTGTTAGCACACTGGAGCTTAAAGTTCAAAATGTGCTACATTCTCTCAGTCATTGTTGGTTTGTTGCACACAAGTGACCACATATGTATGTTTTATATTTATACCTACTTTATCACAAATACATTTCCACATAAAGCTCTGTGTGTTTCAGTTTATTTAGTTTATGTTTACAGTTTATTTTTGGAAAGTTAGCATATGAAAATACCGGCTGGTGGTCTGCCTGCTGGGCATTGCTGCCTGACACACCTCCACCAGTGCCTTTGTGCTGGCGTGCTCATCTGAACACCTCCCTGGGCCACACTAGTGTCTAAGTGTAACTAGTGGTGCCAGCTTACCTTAAGGGTGATTTCCTTGGTGTCAGGAAACTTTTTCTTTTAGATAGGACTGTAAAATATGCTGTTAGTTCATACCCCAGTTTCCTAACACACAAAGAATCAAATAAAAATCAAATAAAGAATCAAATACGAGATCTCAAATTTAAAAAGTTTTACTTGCAGCAAGGAGTGCAGAACAATGGTTACATTCAGAACTGCACTGAGGAACTCCTCAGTGCTCAAAGCTTAAATACAGTTTTTTTTACACACATCAATGGTCAGCACCTTAACCCTTTACAGCCATGTGGTGTTCACGCGCCACTTCTGAGCGCTGATTGGCTTCAAACAAAGATTCTTCACCAATAGAAAACATGTACGTGTATGTGGTGAGCTATTCTGCTCAGTAACTCAGGTTAGATCAAAGACATGCACTTTGGATTATTTTCCTTTTTGATGTTCTGTTTCCCTCATTATTTGGGCAGAAAAACTGGTTCTGGCCGGTTCTGTGACCTGTCTCTATCTCCAAGCGTAACAGTCAGTACCATCCGTAGCATACACCATCCTGTTATGTAAACCATCAGCAGGCACACCTTTCTTCAGTACTTCTCCTTTTAGTACAGCATTCAAAAACAAACAGTATAAATTGATATGGAAACTTAATACAATGAATATATTGTAAAAATTGAATAAATGTATTTACAATATCTTAACATTCCCTGCTGTTTTACATATCAATTAGACTGTGAAATAGAACAACTTCTCATTATCAGTCATGTACAACTTCAATTAGATTTTCTGCAGAGACATCATTTTGGAACTATAACAGTTGAACACTTCAAACAGCTGAGGTGTCCTCGTCAATCTGTGGGGCAGTGGGAATGAGAGAATACGTTTGTTGGTACAAGGCATGCACATACATTAGTCTAGTAGATACCATTTTAGCAATCATTGACTTAATGCACGGTATTAAACAAGTTGAAATCAAACAGAGCAAAGTCAAAACAGGCATAAGTAATTTTAAAAGGACACTCCACCAGGAACTGGAAGTGAGTCAGGAAAGCAGATTTTTGTCCAATGTGAACCATCTTTTTGTGTTTGGAGATGTTTCTGTTAAGCTTGCACTTCACCAATGATCTATG